AGGATCCCTAATATGATTTAAGGAATAGACCTTAACTAAGGGATATTGGAGTCTCTGGGTAATAATGAGAATAGGGTTTCGGGTGGGCTCCTTTTTATTACTTTCGTATAATATACCCCAAACCCGTATTCTAATTATTAAAGCCCCTATATTATATGAGAGTGTCGCCGAGCTTGGCCGTCGTGTTGTACACCGGCCAAGGTCCCAAGGGAGGGTTTGACAGTAACACCTGCCAGGAAGTACTGCAACTTAGACCCAAACACACGGACCATGTCATCATGCTTTACATCCAAAACTCCTGACATGAAGCTTGACAACATGACATTTCAAAACAAACTATGCACTAGACCCACGGCCGCCTAAATCCAAAAGTGCCCGGAAACCCAATTCTTGAAGCCCCAGCCGGCCGCTAAACCCTAAACCAAGGACTACAGCCCTGTACCTCAAGCCAGAAACCCCTTGGCCGATCCTACGTCAAAACACCATGAAAGCTCATCGGGATCTTTAGGAGGCTAAGGGGGAAGGGGGCAGGGGATCATATCTCCTTAGATAGGCCTGATGAGGTCCTTATTATGGGCATTAAGGCCCCCTGCCCGTATCCCCCTAAGGGTCCCTATGAAAACCCAATGTGTCCCGCTGGTTTGGCACCTGCAGGTTCATGATATAGGGGCCTTTATAATTAGAATAGGGTTTCGGGGTATAGTATACCGTAACAAGGAACCGTAGGAATAATGTTGGTAATTATTTCGGCCCAGTAGGGTTTAGGGTTTAGGGTCCAGGGTTTAGGGTTGGGGGTCTAGGGTTTAGGGTTTAGGGTTCGGGTTTGGGGCTTGAGGGTTTAAGTCTAGTGTTCAGGATCAGGAGTCGGGGTTCAAGCCCTTCGCGCTTGAAACCTGGACCTAAACCCTAAACCTGCGGTGCGAAGCCTAAACCCTAAAGGATAGAGCCCTCAGCTCATGGCAAGGATGTGTGGTCTCTGAGATTCAAGCTTGGAGCTTCATGTAAACCCTTGATCAATAAACCCGCTTGGTTTCAAGGCCCCCAAGATTCAGATTCCTACTTAGAGAATCATAGGACAGTTAGTAAGTAGGTTTTAACTGGAGTTAGATGATCCTAAATAGAACCTACTTATAACCTTACTTACTAAGTCCCATGAGCTTTTAAGTACATGTCAGCCCGGACACAGGTTCTTCCTACGGGACAGAGGCTTCCTAATCAGGGCCTCACGCAGAGAGCCCTGGTAAACAACTACCAAGCTTTCGGGTTTGAGGTGCTGTGGCATCGGAAGTCGGGGGGTTCCCGAGCATCACAAAGGGTAATCTAGGGTACTCTAGCAGTAGTGGTTGTTAGTGGTTGGAGTCGCAGAAGAAGTGGTAGTACTAGTAGTAGTAGTAGTAGTAGTAGTAGTAGTAGTAGTAGTAGTAGTAGTAGTAGTAGTAGTAGTAGTAGTAGTAGTATAGTAGTAGTAGTAGTAGTAGTAGTAGTAGTAGTAGTAGTAGTAGTAGTAGTAGTAGTAGTAGTAGTAGTATAGTAGTAGTAGTAGTAGTAGTAGTAGTAGTAGTAGTAGTAGTAGTAGTAGTAGTAGTAGTAGTAGTAGTAGTAGTAGTAGTAGTAGTAGTAGTAGTAGTAGTAGTAGTAGTAGTGTAGTAGTAGTAGTAGTAGTAGTAGTAGTAGTAGTAGTAGTAGTAGTAGTAGTAGTAGTAGTAGTAGTAGTGGTAGTGGTAGTGGTAGTGGTAGTGGTAGTGGTAGTGGTAGTGGTAGTGGTAGTGGTAGTGGTAGTGGTAGTGGTAGTGGTAGTGGTAGTGGTAGTGGTAGTGGTAGTGGTAGTGGTAGTGGTAGTGGTAGTGGTAGTGGTAGTGGTAGTGGTAGTGGTAGTGGTAGTGGTAGTGGTAGTGGTAGTGGTAGTGGTAGTGGTAGTGGTAGTGGTAGTGGTAGTGGTAGTGGTAGTGGTAGTGGTAGTAGTGGTGGTAGTAGTTGTTGTAGTAGTACTAGTACCAGTGGTGACCGAAGGTTCAGGCAACTATAAACCCGGAACCCGAAACACCAAATCCTAGCAGCATGAAGTAGAGCCTCATAAGCGCTGATGTGAGGGTTAATAGTTAGACTAGGGTTTGGGGTTATTATACTATAAGTACCATAGGCCCCTATATTATGCTACGTTGACGCAGCAGCCTAGTCTGCAGCACATCGCGGCAAGATCTGTACGTGATCTTCAAATAATCAGCGACCAATAAGCTCAGCAACTTGTGTGCTGTCTGTATAATCTTCGAAGCTTCGGAAGGAACTCGAAGACCGCAGAAACCTTAACGTAAGGCCGTAGGGCCGTAATAATTAGAATAGGGTTACGGTGTAAAATATACTATAGATAATTTCGGAACCCCCAAAAAAACTGTAGGTAATTATTGAGGCTCCTAGAGTAAACCCTAATTTCCTTCACCCTCATTGGGACACGAATTGCTTGGGATTTGCCCCAGCGCCCCAAAAATTGAGAACAGCCTAAACCTTGTAGAGCCCTACATCCTGAGAAGTTGACCAAATCTCTGAAGCAGGATATGGCTCATGTCCAAAATCTTGAAAGTCAAACCACCACGCCTGAAATCCTGACATCAACACCTGCAGGATAAAGATGGCACCGAAACCCGCGAAACTCTCAACCCTAAACAACTACGTAGTCCACCCTCAAACCGCTGAACCTTCTAAGCAACCGTTGCGAACCCTTGATTACTTGAGACAAAGCCTTGAAGAACCCTGAATAGAAAGCGTATAGCACCCTTTCAACATTCCTAAAGAACCCATTATACTAATTCCTAAGTTCATAAGCCCCCAAAAGTGTACACTTTCAGCTTTATGGTGGGTCATGTTATCCCAAAACGTGTAAAGTGTATCCACTCAGCTACTAAGTAACTGCTTTTCACCCCGAAGCCGAAGAGATCACCCTGCCCCCCCAAAGCCCTGAACCCTCACAACATCCCTAAACCGTAAACCCTAGACCCATTATTGAATTTTGGAGACGCCTTGGCTTTGCCCGGTCTTCGCGCCCAAGTAAGATCTCCCGGCGCGGCGCTCGGTAACCCGCCAGGACATCGCACGCGTAAGCGCCTCCTCGTCCGAAGACAACCGATAACGGGTGTAGGGTTTAGGGATTTAGGGTTTAGCCTAATCCCTAAACCGTTTAGGGTTTAGGGATTTAGGGCTTAGGTTTTAGGGATTAGGGATTTAGGGTTTAGGGTTTACGGTTTAGGGTTTACGGTTTAGGGTTTACGGTTTCCCACATGAACCGCGAGTTTTGCGGTTGTTTGCTGATGTTAAAACGATTCTACACTGCTTGTGGAGTTTTCTTGGGGGTTTGCAAAGGTGCGTGCAAGGGAGTCGCGGGCTCAAGGTCATCCTCCAGGTCATCAGTAATTGCTTCAGGTTTCAAGCAATGCTTATGCAGCTGATGTAGAAGATGTGAACGGTTTTGAGCGGCTTCTGACGATTATACAGCAAGACTTGGAATCATAGTATATCATGGTAAAACTTGCAGTGCTAACATGAGACAGAATCTGTCAAACAACGGCCACAACCAAGGTGCAACTCACGCGTTTTTGCCAAGACACGAACAAAACTGAAAAAGCACTCATGGCACCCATGCATGCAACAAAAGATGATCTAATGAGTTGTAGCAGCAGTCGTCTTCGCCAAAGACTGTTTGGCAATACGCAAACACCTTATATGCGTATGTGATCACATCGCATACATACGTAGGTGTGCTCAGTGGCAAAGTCATCATAATCATCACCACCACGAAGTGGTTGTGGCTAATGATATAGATGTAGGAAATCCAGTGAACCTGCTGTCTGACCACGATGAATGATCAAGCCAGTGATTACACCAACTGAGTTTCGCCAACGGGTAGCTAAATTTTCCCTTAAGATTGGATACGTTGTCCCTCTTGTGCATGCTGCCGCTCTATTGAAAAGCCAAGATGAAAGTAACAGAGTTCTGCATGTCTCTAACAATCCATGACTGTGCCAGTCTTAACAATGTCAGCGACGGGATTGATCATAAGAAGACAATGGCTTCATATTACATCAAAAGCGACAGTCCTCGTAACAGTACGAACAAACGGGAAGTTAAAAGCACTGAAGTCTCGCTGTTAAATTTTTAAGCAGAACAAAATGATGACTGAATATTAGCAGAATGGTAGGCTCCAAAAACAACATGCAGTTTCAATCAAACTATACTTATACAACCCATCTTCTTTTAATCTAACCACGTCTATATCTTCCCTACGACGGCCTGTCATGGGGGGGTGGTGAGCCTATATGTATACACACAGACATACATATGTATATATATATATGTATATGTATACATATGCATATGTATACGTATATGTAAATGTATTTCTATATCTACATACGTGTATATAAGTATAAATGTAGTAAAAATGTGTGTGCGTGTGTGTATATATATATATATTTATTTAAAAAAAAATATGTATATCACTTAAAACACACACTAGTCTCGCGGCCGGCCGCCACAAGCACTCAAAGCCTTTAATTCGCAGCTTCTAAGCAAGCCTCAAACCAAAACACACGAATTAGCGATGCAAACTCTCAACCTTTCGTGCACAAATTTTGACAACCAAACTACTGGTAAATATGTGATCTTTGCACATCCTCTGCGGGCCCCTGGTCAATAGTCAATAGTGCACGTCAACTCATGTTTCGAGATGGAGGCTTTTAGAATTTAGGAGTCACGGGTTTGGCTTGGGTTCAAGAGCTCAGGGTTTAGCAGTCGAAAAACAAATCCTCGCTTCGAACCTAGAACTGATGCAAGGCCGTTCCCGAGCCAGGGGCTGACCCTAATCCCTAACCCCTAAACCCTAAACCCTAAATCCTAAACCCTGAACCCTAAACCCCAAATCCTAAACCCTAAACCCTGAATCCTAAACCCTAAACCCTGGACCCTCAACCCCTAACGCTGTCCACTCTAAATGACAGTGTCGGACCTCTTCAGGCACGCATCATCGTGGGCTGCGTGGGTCCTTGGGGAATTTGGAGATTCTCGGCATTGTTGAGAAAGGGATTCTGAACTTTCAGCACTCTTTTTCAGTACCGTTGCAATCCGGATCCTGGAGCAAACAGGTCTACTTTTAAGGTTTAGGGTTTAAGGTTTAAGCTTTAAGGGCTTAGGGTTTGGGTTTAAGGGCTTCATTACACTCCCTTGCATTCTGAGATTCTAGGTGCTTCCGCACGGGAAAGCTTGCAGTCTACAGTTCATGGCCCAGGTGCTGCGGCTGCCATAGGATGTGTGGTTTAGGGTTATGGTTTAGATTTTAGGGTTTAATGCTATTAATCTTGATAGTTGTGATTGTAGTAATCACAACAAAAGGAAGAGTAATAACAATAGTAGTAAATGTTTTTAGAAACATCACTACTATGGTGAAAAAAGACTACTAATTAACACACGTTGGTTTTACCTAAGGGCAATGAATGTAGTGATAATAGTAACAACAATAACAATTGAATGATGATAACAACAATAGTAACAGTGATACAAAATAGTACTAACACTAAAGAGTAGTGATACTGATAGTGTGCAAATGCTAGGGCTGTCGGCTCCCCGAAACCCCCAAACCCTCAACCCAGACCGACGGGAGTATGCATCCAAAAATCATCCTTGAAGAAAGCCTTGCTTCATCCTCACAAACAATCAAAGGGGAAACGGAGGGACTCTTAATGGGGACCCCTACCCTATAATGGGCTATATAATGGGTATATAATGGCTATGTTAAGGGTATATACCTAGGGTCCTTATTAAGGGTCCCTCCTTTTCCCCTTTTGATACAAAGTTGCAATGCTAGGATACCCTTTTAGCGGCTCTATTTGCGTTGGTCTTTTAAGGGGATCGTCGCAAAAGAACCTGACCATTCAAGCAATATAGAAGCCTGGATAAGTAGTAAGATTAGTCTGAGTCTAAGGACTCCGTATCACGACTCATGATACGTCATGCAATACACCCCAGAACCCTATACTAACTAGTATTCAGGCCCCTATGTTCCCACAAGCAACCCGTCTGGACCCCGTTTGCGGGTACCCGTAAAGGAACCCTATTCAAACTATTAAGACCCTTATATTGACACTTCAAGCACTGTGCTGCGGACGCCGGCTCGAACCGCAGAGACCGCCTGGAACCATGCATGGACTTAGGGTTTGGGGGGGAGAGGGGGGGGGGGAGAGGGGGGAGAGAGGGGGTCTTGGGATACCAGGGTTTAGGGTTTGAGACACCGGGGTTCTGGACTAACGGCTTAAGGTTTAGGGTTTGGGTTTGTTCAGATTTCAGGATTGTGACACTAGGGTTGAGAGTTTAGGGGCTTTAAATTTAGGTTCCATTGTGGCAGCAACAATGCAACGAAGCAAACCGGAAGCTCGCAGCCCAAGCTGCACAGTCTGAAATACGCAAAGAAGACATCGACACTGAAACCCTGCTAGACCCTGAAACCATCATAGGGATCCTTAGGGGTGTGGGGGGAGGGGGGGGGGTAGGGGGCCTTAAGGCCCATAATAAGGACTAATAAGGCCTATTTAAGGAAATATAGTCCCCTACACCCCTCCCCCCTACACCCCGAAGGATCCCTATGAAACCAACGACCCGCAGGCCAAAAGCATGTTAAAACCCTCCAAAAACCCCGTTTGCCCTGAACCCTGCTTGTCCCCAGCTGAAGGCATGGTGAAACCCCATGAACCCCGAACCCTAAGCCCCAAAGCCCTAATAGTCCTCAGTTGAGCAACGTACCGTGTAATGTGCTTCAATGATGCGGGGATCTGTTTAATATGATTTAAGGCGTCTTCCCAACCTAAGGGACTGTTTAGTCTCTAATGTATACTCCCAAGCACGACAACCCTAAACTCTAAACCCTCAATCACTGATCCCTGAACCTAAACCCCAGACCCTAAACCCCTAAACCCCCCAACCCTACACCCTACACCCTACACCCCCAAACCCTAAACCCCCAGACCCTAAACCCCTAAACTGCCCTAAACCCCTCAACCCTACACCCAAAACCCCCCCCTGAAGCGCTCTGAGCAGCTGGCACAAGCGCGGCCCACCGAAACCCTCGGGCCGGATCACCTGCCCCTGGACCTGGCTATCAGGTTTGAAGGTCTTCGGGCTTAAGATTTAGGGTCTAGGATTTAGGGGGTCTTAGGCTTAGGGGTGAAGGGTTAGGGTGTTAGGGTTTTAGAGGTTGGGTTTAGGGCTTTAGGGTTTAGGGCTTAGGGTTTAGGGTTTAAGCCTTACGGCTTAAGGTTTTGGGCGTAGGGTTTGAATTACAAGGGGACGCCTAGTGAAGGGCAAACCCTTAACCCCTATCCGTACAGTAGAAGCGAGAAAGTTGGAAGATCATTATCCTAATGCCCTTAAGCCTTAAGGTAAAGTGTAGGGAAGCCCAGCACTTGAGTTCATGTTCCACGGTAAGGTTTTGGGATTAGACTTTTCCACGAGTCAGTAATAGGGTTTTACATCGGGTTTTAGAGGTTATTAAAAACTAGGCTTGGGGTGTCTGGACCTTGCCAGTTCCGGGTGCTGACAAGGATTCTATTCGCACCCCTGGCGTTCTATGCAGGTTTCTAGACCTAGGGGGGGGTTCTCAGAATTGCTCAGGGCGCAGGGATTCAAGCCCTAAACCCCTAAATCCCAAACCAGGGCACAGGGGTTTAGGCTTTTGAATCTTGTGGGAGTAGGAGTCGTAGTTGTCAGACGAGAGGCAGCAGCAGTAGCAACAGGCGCCGCCGAAGCAATAGTACAAATTAAGTAATTAAGGTTCCAAGAAAGGGGTCTATAAGGTTTACTATCAGGGTATAAGGGTACTATAATAACTAGTGGAAGTAGCCGACAAAACCGATGCCAAGAATAACAGCCGTTGTGAGACAATGTTAACAGAAAGACAGCACACGGTCGTCTTCGTCCGGAGACAGCAATCCGCCGGCAGCGCTATGGGGTTCTCATCCTCGCACCAGGTCGGCTTCGGGAGGAGGGATCAGGGATTTTCGCTAAGTTTCAAGTAACCCAAAGCATCAAGCACCTGAAGCCTACGCCCCAAAAGCCTTAATATAAAACCTTACGCCACGTGACAGCAGTTGTCTATTTTTCTTTCCCCTGGCGGGGAAGTCCTGAGTAGAGTTAAAGCCGAAAACAGTTAATATCCTCATGCTTGTAAAACAAAGCCTTGGCAATCCCAGCAAGACATCATTCGACTTTCACACACTCACACACACATACATATACATATATATATATATATATACATATATATATATATATATATACATATATATATATACATATATATATATACATATATATATACATATATATATACATATATATATATACACACACACACACACACACCTCTGACAATTTGTTGTTCAGTTATAATTAGACTCATTTGTCATTTTCTATCTGTTTATGCAGGCACCTGTTTATTCGATCGTTTTTTGTGTATTGACAATATAGATAGGTGTGCATGTGTAGGTAGGTAAGTAGATATGCATGTATGTGTTTGTATATATATATATATACCTATATGAATAACCATTATAATAGCTGTATAGCAGCAACATCCAGGCAATGAGATCCTGGCTTCAGTGACGGAAGGAGGGCAGGGAGGAGGGGGGGAGGGATGGAGTCCAGAGATTTTAGGGTTAAAGCTTAGCATTTAGGCAATTTAGGCTTTGCGCTTCAGGTTCAGAACTAGAACCCAAGACCCTGTTACATGCAAGTCTCCTCAGCTTCCTGTTGGACGACCTCACCCTCCGTCACCGGCAAGATGTGCATGAGAAAGCCCTCGTGCCTAAGACTTCAGGGAGTTTCAGGGTTAAGGCTTTAGGCCTCAAGAACCGGGATTTAAGGTTTAGGTTTCAGGGTGTCAGGCTTTGTAGCGAAGACCAGGGCCTATATTTTCTGATTAAGTCTGAGAGCTATCTTTCAGGGCTCTACTGGTTGAGGCTTGGAGTTTACGCGAGCTTTTGGGTTTAGAGTTTGGTTTTTTTTGGAGCCCCGTTTTTAACCCAGCAATCCAGTCTGCCAGACAAAGGCCACAGGGGCCAGGGTCAGGCTGACAATCCCAGCACCCAAGGATCACGTGCCCTTACCAGCACACACCCCGAACACCAAGACAGGCCCCTCAGTAGTCAAACTGCACAAGCATGCCCCCGTCGTAGTACACTCCGCCAGCACATCCCTGTCATTCACCCTCTCCGAAGTACCAAGGTCTCTGTCCCAGCTCCCTTCCACATCCGTCGCCGAACCCAAAGCCCTCTGGACCTGTACCAGGCGGAGAACATCGGCCCCATAGAGTCTGTCCAGTGCTTCCTCCGTCAAGTCCTGGTTAGTAGGAGGCTTCCTTGTTGAAAGCCATGAACACCGCGGCGTGCGTGACTCCATTCGTCCCAAAAGACACCGTTGGAGGAACGGCCAGGACTGTAGTGACTGTAGCCTCGTACTCGGTAACTGCGCGGAACATATCAAACTTCTCGCCAAGCTTCAATGGACCAGCTTCGTTGTTGGGCCCAGTCAAGTTGTGAACTGCTGTGAGGAAACCCGTCTCATTTTCACCCGTGGCAGATTGCCCAAACAAAAATTGACCTCCACGGACGATCATCGCGCCGGCCATCTTTTCCGCAACTGTTTCTAAACGCCCTGTCAACCTCAGTGCCTTTCGTGCAAACCTTCAAAGCCTGAGGTAAAGCGGTGGAATTGAGCGAGGCCGCACTGCGAATTGTTTCGGCTCCGTCTTTACCCAAGTCTTCAAACGATAGCTCTTTTCCGTCATCTTTGCCTTCGTAGCCAGCAGTCCCTCTCGGAATGGTCTTTGTGAAACTTGCCAGCGGCTTGGCCATGCCCTCCAGCGCATTGCGGTAGGACTGCTTCGAGACTGGAACTCCTGTTACAACGGGGATCGAATTTACATAAGCAAACAGAAAGACGACCAACAAAGGGTTTGTAAGGTAGTGATAAACGAGAACCGAATCAGTACGAGAGGAGGCAACCCGTCCCTTCCCGCGAAAATGGTTTGAAAGTGCGGCAAAGAAGGCATGATCAATGTGAGCACCGCCAATGAAGACCTAAGGCGAACGGCGAACTACCGCAGATGTCGTCACCAAGATTCCAAGATGTGTGCCCAGCGCTGAACCAAAGCCGCAAGCATCACAGCAAAGGTCACAATGACACTGGGAATGACGCGGTGGGACTCAAACGACGAAAGGTCATACAAAGCTCCAGCCAATTTGAGCACGACAAGGAAATCAGCTGGCGCGAATGCCACCTTCTGGACGATGCTGACCGCGTTAACTGAAGCAAACGCTCCCCCTGCCCAAGAGGAGGCGGAAACCCAGGTAACATAGCTGCGATCAACATCTTGCATGATGAGACCCAAAACTGTCAAGAGTGAATGCCCCAGCATAGCCAGCGATACGAGTCCGTGCAGATACGCTGAGAACCAACTCTGCAAGTGCTGGCTTTGGACCCACCAAGAACACAGTCCCTCGTCGACAGGAAGAATAGTACAATCACAGCAACAACAGCAAGGATCATCAGGAACAGTGATCAAAGTCAAGCAGAACCCAATAATGGACATGTAGATGACCAAAGCAGTCAACGGAGTCTCAACGGAGTCTCACCACGCCCAGCTCCCCAGGCAGCCTCAGCTAGGATGACCGCGAATGGACTCGAGAGTAAGACAACGGGCGCTTACGACGACGACGCGGCCCCTCCGCCTTCCTCCTCCTGCTCCTCCTCCCCCTACCTGTCACTACCGCTGACAAGGCCGCAGGAACGACGACGACAACGACGACCAGGCCGACCGACCTCTCGGCCTTACTCGAACCAATGGCAAAACAGCTGCCCCTAGGGCGGAGAGCCTGCTACATGATGCCGCCGGTGAGCCCGGTGGCGTCATCAGGCTCGCCAGTCCGCTTGCGATGGATGGTCCTCAGCTGGCTCAGTGATTTCTATCTCTTTCCGCTACCACTGTTGTTGGAACTGCCTGCGCAGCTGATAAGCTCTATAGGCTCTAAGAACCTTCAGAAGCTAAGCCACAGCTGACGTATTCTCTGCGACCAAAGCGACGAGCTGCATCAACCTCGGCTTCGGAATCCTCTTGCCAGGGCGACGGCAGGCAAAGGGATGCAAGCGGGCTCGTCAGTTCATAGAGATCGAGGTCTTGAAGCCTGTGGAAATCCACAGCGTTGTGTCTGAAACCCAAAGTATGCTAATGGAGACCAAGAGTGGACGAACTCAGCGTCATCGGAGAGGCAGCCCTGACGTTTTGTTGCAGCCTCCCAAGCCATCAGAGCTTTGCACTTCTTTTGGTTGGCTTTCCTAGCGGACTCTGTACGGGGCTTCTTCTCAGCTCCTGTAAGCAACACGGTGTAATTTGATGACCCAATGCCTGTCTCCCTGTAAATGAGGTTGGGGAAAAACTTCTTGACAACGGGCTGCCAAACGGAGGAAGCGCCAGCTGCGTCGACCACGGATCCACAAAACGACTGACAAAGCATCCGACAACTTTGCTCCAAAACAATGATTGGGTATTTTTCAACCCGAGCCATTTCCGATCGGCGTGACTCATCCGCCAATTGCCAGGAAAGTCTGGGATGATGGCTGTTTTGCCAAAATACCTGTGCTCGTCGGCCGCCACCAGAATTGTGTGTTGTAATAATATCACGGCCCTTGTGGCGAAGCTGACGTGTCTGCACTCTAGCCCATCCATCTCTATACAGGGAATTCAATGAACCCTGGACCCAGGACTTCGGAACGTGCAGATAGTGCGCAGTAGAAGGTCCCTCGCAGCGATCAGCACTGGGCTTCTGCAAGGCCACAGTTTCGTGTTCGAGAGCTCCCTTGCTGATGAGAATGTCCTGGCAAAACATTTTTGCTCTCAAATCAAGCAAGTGACTGCGAGCACGCAGAGGGACCCTGAAGCAGAGGAGGACGCTTGGAAAGCCTTCGGTGCAGAATCCCACGATCACCGTAACCAAAACTGAGAAGAAGGGCAACACGTACCCCGGGCCAGTGCCATGCAATTGAACCAATGAACCGGATGAAGTAGAATCCGGATTGTCATTGCAGATACAGCAACGGAAAGTGCCCGATAGTTGTGGCTCCAAACGGAACATGGAACAATACCGGAGAGGAGGTGTCGGGCCCAAGGCAGTCGAGGTGGTGGTGGTCGTGGAGGACGCCGTCGGAATATACCAGTCCCATTGTGAGCAAGATGCGTGACAATGATGTGCAGGGACTATTCCCAAGTCGAATTCCCTGCCTGCGGGGCATACATGCGACGTAGACGGAGAGTACGTGTTCCTCGCTGCCATATGTGCGAGATCGCCGAAAGTCAAGGGATCCCCGCCATGGCTGGCGAACTTTTCGCCCCCCCTCAACTACACTCACAGCGTAATCGGCATTGACAGTTGGATTTTCGATATTGCGAAGTCGCTCAAACGCTGCCCGGGACCAATAACATGCGCTGAAATCTCGACAGCTTCAGCACTCTTGGGACCCAAGGCCTCGCCGAAGGCCGAAATGTTGACGCGGGCACCTGGGCCACAATCTCCTTTGCTCCCGTTACCGCTGTTTCCTGAAGGACTGGAGATCCATCAAGAAACAATACTGGAGCAGTGTTCAATTGGAATTCGGACAAGCGCTCAGTACGCTCCGTCAAATCCTGAAGGATGTCATCGTCATCTGCTGAATCCTGTGCCAGCACCCAGAGAAAAACGCACTGACAATGAATGCCCCCATGATGGAAAAAGTCCGTAGAAAGGCTGAGTCACTCACTCTGCGTCTATGAGCAGACCTCGGAGAGGGTCGTCCATGAGAAGACCACCCTGAGCGCCTTGAGTCAAAATGGCTACGGAGCTTGGTTTAGGGTTTAGGGTTTTGCTGGTCTGAGGTTTATGATACAATGGGCTATTTGCCCAAAACACGAAGACCTGTAGCACTATTATAGAGGTCGGGCATGATATAATTCCCTATTACCCCACAAACCTAGTCTAAATATTGAGGTCTCGCGTTATGTTTAAACCCTAGAAACCCCGTAAAAAGGAGCCTTTATACAAGCTTTTTGAAGGAACCCTGGATAAGGAACCATAACGAACCCCTTTCTAATTATTAAGGGACCCATGACAAACCCACCCTCCCGAAATCTGTCAAGCTCCTATGCAAGGACACCCTACTTGCTTTGTCCTCAGTACAAACCCCAATGCGAGATTTTGAAGGACTCTACAAAAAAACTAGGTGCTTGTAGGTTAAGGTACCTGCACGAACGATACCTTCGGGCTTCTTGAGGCTTTGGGATTAGGGCCTAGGCTTTCACGGTGCTGGCAGCACATTTACCACAGACTCCCGGAATAGAAGCAATCGATGCTCTAATAAGACAGAACAACAAAATGCTGGTACGATGACAGCATAAGTAGTGATACTAGCGATAGGAACCCAGCTTCATGCGACGATGGTTCAAGGCTCCGTTGAGAGTTTCAGGTGGAATCGCCACTTAGCATCGGCGCAGTGCACAGAGTTGGCGTGCTAGGGCCTGGGTGTAAGATTTCAGGCGGACCCGAATTACAGGCTCCTTCTCTTAAGGAGGACTCCCAACAGCCCTCGAATAGCTGTTAAGTCAGTGAGGGGTAACCAAGGTCTGCATGTCGGGGTTGAGGATTCGGGTTTTATGGTTCGGCTCCGCCCATCCTTAATCCTTAATCCCTAAACCCTAAACCCTAACTGCGCGGCCCACTTGAGACTGCGACTCTTTCCCCTCAATCCTGAACCCCACAGCTGCGACCTGCCCAAGAACCTTGTCCTGCAAACACCCCTGAGTGTTCGCACTGCTTCTTGGCTCCCAAAAGCCGCAGGTACTGACCTTGGGTGAAGGTTCAGGTGCGGAGCATGGCTTCGAAACCAGTCCCTACTGGCATAGCTAGTAGCAGCAACAGGAGCAACAGCAGCAGCGGCGGCAGAAGATGTGGTTGTCGTACTTGTCCTAGTGCTACAGTAGTCGTGGTCGTGGTAGTCGTGGTTGCAGTTGTACTAGTGGTAGTGGTAGTGGGAGTGGTAGTGGTAGTGGTCGTGGTAGTGGTAGTGGTGGTAGTAGTAGTAGTTGTTGTTGTTGTTGTTGTACAACCAGCAGTAGTAGCAAACTGCAACAGCAACACGGCAACAAGTTATGACGGGGAAAGCCGCGACAAGAAGTGAAGAAAACAGGTCAGACAACACTCGTGACATTCTCATTGATGTAGCGAATGCTGCTGTATTTCATAGGGACTCTTAGGGGAGGGGGGTAGGGGGCTATAATATCTATAATAAGGACTTAATCAGGCCTGTTTAAGGAAGTCTACCCCTCTCACCCTACCCCCCTAAGGGTCCCTATGATGTATTGGTACTCTGCAGCACGACCCGGAGGGATTTTTAACTATACCACATTATTGCTCAGCTGATAATCGCGATCACTGTGCTTGTGTGCGCGCGCTGCTTCCTTTCCTACCATGGCTTTGCTTCCAGTTACCACCATGGAAGCAAAGGAAGAACTATAGTGGGTTTATACTTGGGCTAAACAAATCGCAGTGCCAACACTCTACACCTTGGAACATGACGCCTCATCTTTCTAATCCTTGATGACGCCTATCATTCTCAAACAAACGTGAGCCCTGCATAGAAAATTCCTAAACCCACACCCCAGCACCCGAGCCGCCTAAACCCTGAACCCTGAGCCGAAATACTAACTCCAAAAACCCTAGGCCCCCGCCCCCAATGCCGCAGTGACTGATGGTAGCCTTACAGGAACCCTTCTAGCATCCTTTAAGAAGGCCCTAAGCTCCTAAACCTTTGCCGAGGTCTCCTGGACTGACATACTCGGGAGCCGGCGAAGCTCACCCTTCAGCATGACCTGCTTAGGCCCTAAACCCTAAACCCTAAACCATAAACCCTAAACCCTAAACCATAAACCCTAAACCCTAAACCCTTACGGCTGAGGGGTCTGGGGCTGAACCTTCAACCCCTGCACCCCCTCACAGCCACCACCACCCCAAGCCCGTATACCGCCTACGCCCGACCCCCTATCCCCTTCACACCCCCCCGGCCAGCCTCAACCAGCTCTCTCTAAACCACCGGAAACCTCCCAAACCCTAGGCCCTACACCTACAAACTATGAAAACCCCACAAAAAAAAAAACCTAGACCAAACATACAGCACAAAACCCAAACCCTCGGAAAAAAACATCCCAAGACCCTCAACTCAAACCCCAAAACCCATTGAGAGCCCAGGGCCCCTGCAATCCCGGGGAAGCTAAGCCCCAAACGCAGAACATAAGGATTTGGGGTTTGGGAGTTTGCTCAAAAGCTCATGGGACTTAGAAAGTAAGGATATAAGTATTTAAAAGATAACCCCACTTAATTAGGGGACTTATAACCCCAGTCCGCCGAGGCTGCAGGCCCAGGCGTATTGGGGGTTTGACTCCGGTACCCTCCACCTCATCCTCCTCCCTGCAGTCGTCAAAAAAGTTGGCCGCCTTTTGCGTTCATCTCCCACCCCCAACCCGGTTCCGCCCTCCCCCCAGCCCTCACCTGCCCGCTGCCCCTGCTCCCCTGCGCCCTGCCTGGCCTGTTCCTTGGCCCCCTCCCTCCCACTTCTGCATTCGCTCTGCTCTTTCACATTCGGTCTCAGTGCTGGTTTTCGGCAAGCGGAGGCGGGCGGCGTAGCGTTGAAATTCTAACCTACTTACTAAGTTTCATGATCCTTTTTAAGTGGGGTTTAGGAGTTACGGGTGTAGGGTTTAGGGTCTTGGATTCAGGGTTTAGGGCTTAAGACAAAAATGGAAAATCTCTGGATATCCCTGGAATGCCCTTTTACAACTTTCCATAAAACCTGTCGGAACCCTCTGGAACCTGCTTCAAAAGCACCTGTAAAACTGCGAGAACCTAAACCCTATAAAGCCTATAAGGCCTATTAAACCCTATAAACCCTATAAACCCTGTAAACCCTGTAAACCCTTCAACTTTTACCCCCCCTTTCGGAGAGCTCCCTAAACCCTAAACCCTAACCCCTAAACCCCTAACCCCTAAACCCCTAACCCGAAACCCTAAACCCTAAACCCTGAACCCTCTTCAAGGAACCCTACTTGGAGGATCATGGGACTTAGTGAGTAAGTTATAATTGGGGTTATAAGTCCCCTAAGTGGGGTTACCCCAATTATAACCTACTTATAACCTTACTTACTAAGTCCCATGAGCCTTCAAGGAACCCTAAACCCTAAACAAAAGCCCTGGGAGGCCTTCGTCTCTAAGGCGATGTCCAGGTGGCCCAGTACGGAACTTATCGGGCCACCGTTGCCTTCAAAGGGGGGGGCTCCTAAAAAGGCCCCTAAAAAGCTAATTAAGGAATTTTGAGGCCCTTGCAGAGACGGGTTTCATAATCTGTGGTCTACCTTATTCGTGCTGTGGGCCTGGGCTTGGGGTTCCGGGTCGAATAGGTTGTGGTTGGCTTCAGAGCCTTGATTTGACTCCAAATCCCGTTGATGACCTCGACCAAGAACAGAGGGTTGTTTTATTACGCCATGGCTCTCTTGTTCCGCCCCTCCTTTAAGTGTTTAGGTTTTGACACCACAACCCGCCCCCCCCCTCAAAAAGAATGCAAACAAAAGGAAACTAACAACACAAGACAAACACGGCGCTCCACATTCCGCTGCGTGCCTACTAGCTCAAGCTCGTGCTCCATCCAGGGCCCACACCTGCTAAGCACAATTTAACTGGCATCATCAGGGTTTCTATGTTCTTGGTACACTTATGCAACATGAAGTCGTTGTACGCTCGGTGTTGATTACGTTCGGCGTGTGCTCCGCAGTAGTAGCACTGCCAAGCGTCGTTGCTCACAGCTTTTCTGGTATTGCCAGCAGTCAAGTCCAAAACAGGGGGTCGTAATGGTTTTGCGGCTATGTTATAGTGACTATAAAGGAACAGTCTTCTGACTATTCCGAGCCCTATGTGGAACAGCAGGTGTCGTCGTCTTCTTTCTTGTCATGATGAAGGTGAAACCCCACAGCCCTAAAGCGCTAAGCCCTAAACCCCTGAAACCCCAACCCTAGACCCTAAACCTAAACCGTATACCCTTAAACCCTATAAACCCTCTATCCCCCCGCCCTTTTGGAGGCTTCTTTGAGGGTCCCTACGGGGTTCCTCTAAGGACTACAGAAGGTTACTCATATAGGGGCCTTCATAATTAGACAAAGGTTTAAGGGCCCAGTATTCTATAATTTTTATAAGGAACCCCAAAATGGTATTGGTAATTGTTTAAGCCCCTAAAGTACAGCTATAGGTTTCAGGGGCTTCAGAGGTTAAGGGCGTAGGGCTTGAAGGCTTTCGGTTTAGGGGTATAGGGTTTGGGGTTTAATGCTTTAGGGTGTGAAGGCTTGGGGTTTAGGGTTTACGGGCGGGTCTACAGCATCAGCAGCAGTGAGGAGAACAAGGCTAGTTGCAATCACACGACAAGCAATGAAAGTAAATCTTCTGATAACAAGAGCATCAACAATCACACAGCTCGTGATAGCGATAAACCCAAAACGACAATGTCATGAGACAATTGCAGCAGCTGTAGTCGCAGTAGTAGTAGTAGTCGTCGTCGTCGTCGTCGTCGTCGTGATGGTGGTGGTGGTGGTGGTAGTGTCAGCGATAGCAGTTGTAGCAATGATAAACCACATCTAATAAAGACGGAGGCGCAATCCGAGGGACGGAATCTGGAGCTCGGCTTTCGCCACAGTCTTTCCTGTCGCAGCTGGCTGCGAAGCTGCGGGGATTCCTTTTAAGTGATTTAACAGGGTTCCCATAAACCATACGGGTTGCTTTATGTCAAAAAGTTCCGGGTTCATAGCTCAGGGCCAGGGTGTAGGGACACAGGGTTCTGTCTGAGTTTAGGGGATAGGATTTAGAGAGTCGCTGCTTCGAGTTCACGGATCGAGGAAAGGCGTGCGGATTCAGTGCTTCGATCTTACCCAGACCCCCGAGGGTCGGGAGGATCTAGAAAGTAGATCCCCTAATCTGGGGCCCTATACTACTAAGGGTACTTTACAGGAACCCCCATTAAGGGATCAACCCTAAACCCTGAAACCCTATAGATCCCTTAAAGGGACCCTTAAAGGAACCCCTACAGGAACCCCCCTTAAGGGATCGACTTTTTACAGATCGAGGCAGGGGTCCAGGGCTTAGAGTTCCGAGTTCCAGGCTTGAGGGACTCACTTAAAAGGCTCATGGGACTTCGTGGGTAAGGTTTAGGGGTACTATAAGGTTCCATAATGGGTTTAGGGTTTAGGGTCTACTTAAAGGCTCATGGGACTTAGTGGGTAAGGTCTAGGGGCTACTATAGGGTTCCATAATGGGTTTACGCTTAGGGTTTAGGGTCTACTTGAAGGCTCATGGGACTTAGTGAGCAAGGTTATAAGTAGGTATAAGTAGGTTATAGTTAGGATAACCCCACTTAGGGAACTTAAAGCCTTAAAACACCAATTAGAACCTACTTAGTCACATGATCCTTTAAGTGAGGAATTTCGGGTTCATTGTTTAGGGCTCTCGGCGTTCGCAGCTACGCATCTTTCCTAGAAACCCCGTCATGTTACTCGCAACTCTAGCATCTAGAACCCATCCCGAACCCTAACCTCCGTGGCGACGAAACGGATACTACTTACTAAGTCCTCGGAGCCCTTAAGTATTTGTCCAGTATGCAAGGGGAACTCAAATTTAATCGCTCAGGCTTATACAGGGGTTGTAGGCACATTCAAGAAGCCCTTGGCTGCAAGCATGTCCGAAGAGCAAACTGCACGTTCAAGAAACCGTTGGCTGCAGTCAGTCCACGACTACGAGGGCGTCGGAAGAAGACTGCCGGATGACATTCCTTTTCGAGGGGTGATAACAAAAGAAGCGGCAAAGGAACGCTTGCTGTGTCCTGTCGAATGCCTGGAAATGGCAGCCTTTTGCGGTACTGCTTGGAGTAGAAAACTGCCATTTCAGGCTGTTTGCTTTGCATTTCGGGCACGCAAAGAACGGTTCATCTGTGACATCGGTGAGGTGCGGACGTACAAGTGGAATGCTGGGTATTCACTGAATGCTTTGGTGCTGGTCCACGAAGGATCGTAGCCACATCCGCAACAGTTCACGAGGGAGTATGCTCGATGCTCCAGCAGAAGATGTCAAGTGCTTCGCGGCCTCTAATTTCGTCGCCGTCCATTGGGTTAATTTCATGAAGGGGGCCCTGCATTCGCAACCAGCGCAGAGTCACACAACTCATATCCAGTTTGAACGCCAGGCTTTGGCATGGTTTCCTACCCGGCAAAACCTCAGACGACAGATCCGACTGTGTCGGATCAGCACATCTGTCCCAGGCGCAACGGTTGATGATATAAATCCTGCATAACCCATAATAAGGCCATAATTCCCATAGTTTAGGGTCCTTAAGGTAATGCAGGATTTATATCATCAACACAAGCACCGGTGTTTTGGGCCAGCAGCCGTCATCCAGCTTCAGAGATTTCTCCTTGGCAAAAGTTCCTGGTTAACCCAGAGACTCCAATATCCCTTAATTAAGGATTATACCTTAAAACGCGGCCTTCCAGAAACATTTGCAAAGCCAAGGTTAGCTACTCTACTACTAAGAACCTAGCCCGACTTAGAACCTCCAGAGCCCCTGAAATGGCTTCTTTTCCTTGGACGTAAAATGGGAGTCTCCGAACATAGGGGACCCTAATACAGTACCCTAAATATCCCATTCTTGCAAGCTCGCGCTTCGGAGTATCGGCGCTGGGGCCGCTAGGGAGTCTAGTTGTCGAAAGGCACCCTGAGGTCGGGCGAAGAAGAAATCGTTGAGAGTTTTTTAGGGTTTAGGGTTTAGGGTTTAGGGTTTAGAGTTTAGGGTTTAGGGTTTATGAGCACTACTACTGCTGCTGCTGCTGCTGCTACTACTACTACTACTGCTACTTCTGCTACTACTACTACTACTACTGCTTGAGCAACAAACTATACCTGGACGCCAAGGAACCTACCTTTTTTAGTGTTCCCTAATCTGATTTCTTTATATAAGTCCTAAAAAAGGTATGTTATTTGGGGTTAAGGTAAACTATAAGCAAGATGATCGAACACTGAAAAATCCAAAAGGGTGGCTGCAACTTCCAAGGAGCTCTTCGAAGTCCCTGCCCTGACACCCCTGTACCGATGGAAACCGATTTAGGGTGTAGGCTTTGGGGTTTAGGGTTTAGGCTTTGGGGTTTAGGGTTTAAGGTTTGGGGTTTAGGTTTGAGGGTCAGTCAGATCCAACACAACTGACATGTAAGAGTCTTACAAGTGAAGCCTGAATACTTACCAGCAATCCGGTGGTAAACGGAGGGACCCTTAATAAGGACCTAGGTATATACCCTTAATATAGCCATTGTATACCTATGATATAGCCCATTATAGGGTAGGGGTCCCCATTAAGGATCCCTCCTTTTCCCCTTTGAAGCAACTCCTGAACTCCACCCTCCCTAAACCCCAAGCCCTTGGCCCTCCAGCCCAAGCCTCGAATACCCAAAAAAAACCCAAACCGAAATCCTGACCTAAAAGGTTTCAATGCTCTAGGCCCTCAACCCTAATCCTACACCCCGAAACCCTAGGCCCTAAACCCTAAACGACAAAGCCCTAAACCCTAAGCCTCAAAGCCCTAAGCCCGAAACCCCAAAGCCCCTAAAGCCCATAACTTTAAAACGACAACAGGCCGCAGCCTACGAAGCCCGCTCGGATGAGTCGGATCCTCGCCGAGGAGGAAGAGTGCTTCGAGGGTTTAAGGTTCATGGTTTGGGGTTGCGCGCTTAGGGTTTAGTTTTTGTTTTAAGGGTTTAGGACTAATTGTTTTTATAGGGTTTAGGGTTCTTTTCTTATAGAGCTTAGGGTTCAGGGCTAGCCGAGATAAACTGATTTCTAGCCTGAAAGTTCAGAGCTTTGCGGTCTGTACTGCAGTATTGGAAGGTTCCGGGGCCGTTGGGTTCGGGGTTTGCACTGTTGAGTGCTTCATTTTGTATGGTGGTTTTCAGCATTCCGAGCTGAGGGTTTCGAGTTTGGGCTTGCAAAGTCTAGAGTGTTGTTCTTTGTTTCAGGATTTAGGATTTAATATTGGGTTTGGAACTTAGCTTTTTAAATTTAGCCTCGGAAGATAGGTCAAAGTGTCGAAAATCCATGTGGGAGTTTCCGAAAATTAGGGGTACCTTATCATGGGGTCCTTATAATAAGGATCCTACCATTTAGGGTACTATATTAGGGTCCCCCATTTTCGGAAACTCCCATGTGAAGCAGGCGTATCTTGGTTGCAGAGTGAAGGACGCTTGAACGAAGGTCTCCTTGAGATACCCTAAACCCTACTTAAAGGCTCATGGGACTTAGTAAGTAAGGTAATAAGTAGCTTATAATTAGGATAACCCCACTTAGGGGACATATAACCCCAATTCTAACCTACTTACTGAGTCCCATGATCCTCCAAGTAAGTTGAGTGTATACACCATAGAACCTATGCCTAATTACTTAAGGAAACCCTACTTAGAGGACCGTGGGACTTAGTTAGTAGGTTTCGATTGGGGTTATAAGCCCCCTGATCCGAATCATAACCTACTTATAACCTTAGTCACTAAGTCCCACGAGCCTTTAAGTAGACCCTAAACCCTAAACCCTCAAAGGGAACCCTGCTATGGAACCCTATAGTACCCTCCAAAGGAACCTTAAACCTTACTCACTAAGTCCCATGAGCCTTTAAGTAAGCGACCAGACATGGCCAGGGCCAGGGCAGGCTGGATCTTGTGACCAAGAGTCATAGGGACCCTCAGGGGGGGTAGGGGGGAGGGTTTAGGGTTTAGGGTTTGGTAGTGTTTTCGGGGGGTTAAGGGGCCTTAATACCTATAATGAGGACTTAATAAAGGCCTGTGTAAAGGAATTATAGTCGCCTACCCCCCTAAGGGTCCTGTCAGATAGTGTGAGCTTTGGTTTCCGCTGGCGCTGGTCGTTAATGTAGCAACCTGATTAAGAGACTTTGGGCCTTTATTAGGCTTCCTTATATGAATCCTACTACTTTGGGGTTATAGGCCCAGGGTTTCTTAATCAGGTTGCTACATTATGGTGGTCGTTGTGGTGCTGGTGGCGGTGGCGGCGGTGGCGGTGGTGGCGGTTGTGGCGGTGTGGTGGCGGTGGTGGTGGTATTGGTGGTATACACAGTATTGGTGACATTGGTGGCATTGGTAAAATTGGTGGCATTGGTGGTATTGGGTGGTGTGGTATTGCAGCTGTTGTGGCTACTGCTTCGATGTGCTGTGGCTAATTTTAGCCGTTACCGTAAGTTATCCCCAATCTGTAGACGAAGCATTCATGTTCCTGAAGGTCTGCGGAAAACTGACCCTCAACCCGACTAAAAGGCTCGTGGGATTTAGTAAGTAAGGTTAAAAGTACGGGACGTACAACCTCAATTATAAGCTACTTACTAAGTCACTAAATCCCATGACCTTTTAAGTAAACTTTGCCCAAACACTCAACCATCAATCCCAAGCTCTCAACCCTATCGGGCCTTATCTTGTTGTGCGCAGCACGTTGGCCGAGGAAGAGGCACGTTGTGCCTTTGCTTTTGGCTTAGACTTGCCCTGTAGGCTTAGTTTAGGAACCCTAAACCCTAAACCCCTAAACCCCAAACCCACAAGGTTTCGCTTGGGAGAAAAGTTCCTCTAAGGGCCAAAGAAGGAAGGCTCGGGGGTTGAGGGCACAATTTTCTCCCCTGACAGGTCCTTGTCCCAGCTGCCGCCCTCGCAATCGAACCCCGAACCCCACCCAGCGCCCGACCCTAAACCCGAAAAGCACACTCGGAGCCCGGAAACCGAGGCCTCAATCCTTAGTCTATTGCCTAATCCTCAACCGTATTCCCTACACCCACAACCACCCAATTGCCTCAAACACTCCAACGTGAAAAAGAAACGCCGAGAAAAAAACATGAATGAGCCCTAACCCCAAAGCCCCTAAACTCCATAAACCCCATAAACCCGAAACCCGCCTATATACATCAACAAGTCTCAAGTCTCAGTACCAAGAAAAATCCGACGTTGTTCCAGAACTCCGGATAACGGCTTGAGTTTTTCGACCGCCTCCCTAACCCCTAGCCGTAAAAGCAAAAGCACACTTTAGAAATGTATATACAGGTATATGTATGTGTAATGCTAACATGTATAGCATAAAAGATGTAATATATCAAATATAACATATACTGTATAATATATACTGTATAGTGTATATTATATAATACGCCAAATATAATGCATAATGTATAATATAGAATGTATAATATGTAATACATACTGTAGTGTCTAATAAGTAGTATATAATATACTACGATATTATTATTGTTATTGTTCTTATACCTTGTAACGTATTATAACAGAACATAGTATAATAGATTACTATAGGACATAATATACTAAATATCATACAGTATATAATATCTGACACATAATCTATAAAATATTATATGTTATATATCCTATAGTAAAGATGTAACATAATATAGTCTAATGTAATATTATATGTATATACAACAAATGTTTGAGAACAAACTACAACGGATAAAAAAAAAAAAAAAGCAAGGCCCTGGCCGAACTCGGCGTTGAGGCACTCCCGCGCCCCGGCGGCCAGGCCCTCCTGAAGTCGGCTGACGTACCTTCTTGCAAGGTTCTTACTCTAAAAAAACATCAGGGTGACTGTCTTTCAGGGTTCTTTTTTTTTTTTAAGTGTCTTTCAGGGTTCAGGCGTTAGGGTTTAGGGTTTAGGCTTTGGGGGCTAGGGTTTGGGGGCTTAGGGTTTAGGGGTTTAGGGTCTAGGCTTTGGGGCTTCGAGCTCCATCTTAGGGCCCGTTTAGGGTTTCGGGTCTAGGGTTTTGGGTTCAGGGTTCCTGATAAGGGCGACCCTGTTATAGAACCATTGGGTACCCTTTAAGGGGGACCCTGATTATAGAACACTACAGTACCCTTTATATGAGGGGCCCGCTACGGCGTTACGGATTTTGATGAACTCTTACGGGATTCCATTCTTAAGGCAAGTTTACGAAAAGCTTTATTGCTTAGATTTAGGCAGAGCACTTTCTGTTTTTGATGGGATTTTATCATGTTTGTGTTAAGGCCCTCGACAGCCCTTTTTTTAGGGTTCCTTGCAGACTTGGGGCTCCTAGGGCTCTTAGACATAGCGCTTGTCTGGAGTTTTTTTACAGGGTTCACCCTCTTCAGGCTAACGTTGGAACCAGGTTTTCGGGGCGTCCTGCAATCTGAGCTCAGTGTTTGGAGTTCTGGGTGACGTTCCCACAACGATTTGAAGAATATCCCCGAAGCTAAGGGATAGTCTACGCGCCATAGTAATTCTAAAACACAGTTGGGGTGATATTCTACTATAATTCTGTCAAGGGCCCCCAAAACCCGGTTCGAAGTGTTAAAGCCCTTATTTGGAAGGTCCGGGGTTTTTTATACGTAATTACTGTTATAGGCTTATAAGTATCACAGCCCCGGTTTGGATCCCGTTTGAGGTGCTTATAACTCTACTTGCTATCTACTTACTATGTCCCCCTACCCTCCAGTACATCATGGGAATCTCTGAACCTTGCATTGCCCATAACAAGACATATACCATAGTTACCATAGTTTAGGGTCCTTAAGGTAATGCAGGATTTATATCATAACCCTAAACCCTAAACCCTCTTAAACCCTAAACCCTACAGATCCCTTAAAGGATCCCGATCATCAACCGTAGAAGAAGGAAAGTCTGTCTGGTTCTTAGTAGGGAATGGGGGGAATGGATTGTGGCATTATTGGGGATTATACAGGGACTAGTATAGGGATCCGTTCCGCATTCCCTACCAAGCACCAGGGAGTTATGGGAGTCTCTGAACCCTAAAGCCAAACCCCTAAAAAACCCTCCCCCTTAAACCCTTAAAGCCTGAAACCCTACCCCCTGAACCTTTAAACCCTTCAACCCTAAACCCATGTTTATCTGAATCCTAAAACCCCCAAAATATAGAACCCTTATGGATCCCTTAAAGGATCCCTGAAAAGAACCCCTATGGATCCCGAACCTCTAAGTATGAAAGTCTCTGAACCCAGGGGCCGCGCCTCGCTCCAGGCGACGGAGGCTCTGGAAGCGGCATCGCCTTCACAGCCATCTGGGAGTTTCCGAAACTAAGGGGTTTTTAGGGTTTAGGGGTTTTAGGGTTTAGGGTTTAGGGGTTTAGGGGTTAGGGTTTGGGGGGTAAGGGTTAGGGTTTAAGGGTTAGGGTTTAGGGTGTACCTGAAAGGATCCTACTCCTCCGGGTACTATATTAGGGTTCCCTATTTTCGGAGACTCCCAACTTGGTAAAGAATGTGATTTCCTTATTCTGGCTTAGGGTTTAGGTTGTGGTTTAGGGTTTAGGGCTTACTGTTCAGGGTTCAGGGCGGTACTATGAAGCCCGGTAAAAACGCATAATGTGGTTCCCAGAGACTCCACTATCCCTTCATTAAAGAGTACTTGGGTTCCTTTAGAGGTTCCTTTAAAGATTCCTTTGAGGGATCTATAGGGTTTAGGGTTTAGCGGACCCCAATACTCCTTAATTACGGAATATACCAAAGATTTTAATAGGAGCCCTAGTATGATTTAAGGAATATTCCTGAATTGAGGGATGTTGGAGTCTCTGGGTCCATAGCCAACTTGGTAAAGAACGTGGTTTTCCTTATTCTGGCTTGGGTTTACGGTTCAGGGGTTAGGGTTTAGGGGCCTACGGTTTAGGGGTTGGGGTTTAGGGTTTGGGGTTTAGGGGTTAGAGTTTAGGGGCTTTAGGGTTTGGGGTGGGACCTTCAATTATTGAACTCCCTAACAAGAACACGGAATAGAATCGTTGTAGCTCAAAGAGTTGAAGGTTTACGGGAGAAAGTAAGCAACGGTTCGGGGTTTAGGTTGTTTGTGTGTGGTTAGGGTTTAGGGTTGCGGGCTTAGGGTTATTTGTTTAGGGTAGGCTATGCGGTGGGTTATCATTCGGAGAAATCCACTCGTGGCATTTATCATGGGCTCTTGCTGAGGAAATTGGTTTTTAAGTTATCTATCCTAATGAGGACACCATACTATCACACCATACTATCTACTATAGGTCCCTATCATGGTCACTCAGTTGGGCTCCTCAACACGAACTCGAAGCCCTGAACTCTACACCCCTAAACTCTACCCCCACGCCTCCTGACCCCGACCTCCAAAACCTAATTTTTTGCCGGTTCCTATTACGAACCCTAATAAGACATTTATAGGGACTACAACTACCAAAAAGTAGGTTCTGGTGGGTTAAGGTGACCCTAAACCGTGGTATAGAGCCCATGTGGGTGGTTGTCAAAATTAGGATCCTTATCATCATACGGCACGTAATATTTGGGGTACCCAAAGAGGGACCATAATTTTGACAACCACCCATGTAGAGCCCCACCAGGTCCCTTCTTCCTTTCGGCACAGTCTCGCAGGCAGGGCCCTAGTGAAAGGATCACGGGACTTGGTCACTAGGGTTCCTTAAAGAGTGCAGGGTTCCTTTCAGGGCTCCTTTAAGGGATCCGTAGGGCTCCTTTAAGGGATCCTTTATGGGATCTATAAGGGTTCTGTAAGGGGGGGTTTAGGCTACTTAGAGGATCATGGGAGTTAGTAAGTAGGTTATCATTGGGGCCACAAGTCCCCTACATGGTGTTATCCTAGTTATAAGCTACTTTGTAACCTTGCCTACTAAGTCCCATGAGCCTTTAAGTAGGGTGTCAGGCTTAAGCCTCACTTGTGGCCCAAAACACTTACCTTTTTAAGGGGTTACATAAGTATTCCTCTAAATGAAGGTCCCTTTTAGGGTACTTGCTATTAGGGTGCCGTACAAAACCCTACCTTTGTCACTGGGTTGTACTTTTTGACACTTAAAAAGCATTTAAGAATAGGTACCTCTATGGGAAAATTAAACGGTGTCCCAAAGTGCCACCTAGTTGAGGAATTATACTATGTAGAAGCAATAATAACGAATCCTGGAAAAGTAGGCTTGTTCGGCTGCAGGCATAGCCTACTGTGCGTGGGGCTTCGTGTTTAGGTTGGCGGGCAGGCATGACGACTCTGATGGAGTTTGGGGTTTAGGGTTTAGGGTTTAGGGGTTTAGGGTTTAGGGTTTAGGGGGGTTTGGGGTTTAGGGGGTCGGGATGACGACTATGATACGGTTGATGATATCAATCCTGCATGACCTTAATGACCCTAGACTATGAGAATTCTGGTAGATTCCTTATGACGGGTAATGCAGCATTTATATCATCAACCGTAGGACAGGGACGGGGGATTCTTATGCTGCTGGTCTGTTTCGTCGTTCTTACTCCATTATACTCTTATCACTCCGTCGCCATCGCGTATGAACAAATACACAAACTGGCACATACGTATCCGCACGTGTTCGAAACTATTCCATGGAACCGAAACTCACAAGATGGAAAAGCGCTTTAGGGTTTAGGTTTAGGCATACCCCCGAAACACCAAACCATCCGCAATTTAGTAGATAGCACCGCCCATGCCCAATCTCCGGCCGAATCTGAATCTGCACGCTTTGGCGATTACGATTTTAGGCTTGCTGAAGAGGGCCCAAAATGCTGAGGAGGTTTGGGAAGTGATATCAAAGGAGGTTTAGGAATGATTGGATAGAACAGGTTTCGGGCAGACTGGACTATGCTTGTAGAGGAACCCCGAAGGAATTCCACTTTACAAGAGAAGAGGCACCTAACCTACCGTGGCGTAAAAATCCCCAAATCTAGTGATCCATCCGTTCTGCTTGGACAAGTTTTATAGACTGTAAGTGTCATAACCCCAATTAAGATCCCCTTTAGGGTACTTACAAGTCTACTTACTACATACTTGCTACACAAGTCCCCCGACCCTCCAAGTGACTTTCGGAGCCAGGCTCTCTTTTGGAGGGTTCCTGTGATGCATTTTAGGGATTTCTTCGGCAAAAGCCAAACTTCGGTAAAAGCCCAAGCCAACGACCCCAACACTTTGAGGGCCGTCTCCAATGACTCCAATATCTTTGCAAAGAGATTGTCAGGTAAAACTGTAGACACATTTAATTCAGCTAGAACAATAGTAGCTATATCAATAATCATCATAATAAGAATAATTTGTAATAACAGCAAGAATGCAAATAGTAATACTAATACCATAAGAATACAAAGAAGAATACTACTAGTAATACTAACATGCTAGGGAGTCCACAGCCCAAGCGCCTGCGTGGTGTCGCAGTGGATGGACACGCCAGGGTCGCCATACTTTACACGCACCTCGCCAGGTGTCTGTGGGCTTGATTGATGTCCAACTTTACGTGGACTAGAAAGTAGTAGTAGTCATAGTAATTATTCCGACCCCTTGCGATGCTTGGGAGGCTCGAGTGCTTTGGGTCAAGAGCTGCGGAGAAGAAACTCCTTCTTGTCAGAGACCTCCTCAGCACCGCTAGGCCTTGCCGCAACACCGGCAACTCTAAACCCTAAACCCTAAACCCTGAGCCCTAAACCCTGAACCCTAAACCCTAAACCATAAACCCTAAACTCTAAACCCTGAACGCTAAACCCTAAACCCTAAACCATAAACCCTTAACCCTAAACCCGGGGGCTTTCCGCGGGCCGCAGGTTGCGGAACTCGTCATCACAAATGAACTCGGGTCATGTAGGTGCTTTAATCATTGGAATAGGGTTCCTTTAAAAAGGGTCTATAAGAGCTACTATAAGGGCTATTATAAGGATGTGGTATAGGGGCCAGAATAACAGGATTTTGGTGCGGCGCTCCTCATAATAATTAATATACTACACCCCCAAACCCTATTCTAACTGTTAAGGCCCCTACATTCTCTCTCTCAGCCGGCCAACGATGTCATCAGGTGGATCATGGTCTAGACTAAGTCTAAGCCTTAAGGGTGTGGGGCTTGGGGCAGTTTAAGGTTCCTGGGGCTGCCCCCGTCGGCAATACTCCGTACTGCAGAATCGACTTCAATATGGGAGTTTCCGAAAATTAGGGGTGCCTTGTTTTGGGGTCCTTATAAGAAGGATCCTACGATTTAAAGTACTTTATTAGGGTCCCTAAATGGTCAATTCCCATATTCCTTTACCAGGAAAACCCCTCAAGTTGCACAATCGTGGCAGAGATCCTTAGGAAGGAGACCGTTCACTCAGGGAGGCTATACTGTAGAGCCTCAGTGGTCTTTCCATGGCTTTTTTGGATTTTGTAGAAACCTATGAAGATTTGTAGGGGATGACCACTGCTCATGTTTTACGCCTCTATTTTCAGGGCTTCGGGCTTCAGGGAGCAGGGGCATCAAGTTGTTTCCATGTGGGTGGTTGTCAAATACAGCACCTAATATTTAGGGTACCCAAAAAGGGACCATAATTTTGACAACAATCCATGTAGCTTATGGCTTCATCAGGGTATCGGTTGCCGAAGAGGTCTCTTCAGGCTTAGAAACGACTTCGCAGCCCTAAAACCCTAAACCGCTATAGGGTGCTTAAAAGGAGGCTCTATGGATAGCCAGGGCTGTGGTGTGGTACAAAAGAACATCTTCCAGGGAGCTTAAACGCTCAGCCTGGAGCTTCGGGAGCGTTACCAGGAAAGACGATGATTCGCACGACATGTGTGTAACTGCTGCGTTTGCTACTCGTCGCAGCTGTTCAGCTGGTCTCGCACGACACTGCTGTCACCACCGTGGCCACCATAGCCCCAGGTCACCACGGAGCCATCGCCAAGGATCGCAGCAAAGGCACACCAGGTTGCTTGAATCTGCTGCACATTCTTCAGCTGATCTCTCACAGCACTGCTGTCACCACCCTTGCCAGAAACGCCCCAAGTCACGACGGAGCCATCGCCAAGGATCGCAGCAAAGGCACCCGGGGTTGCTTGAATCTGCTGCACGTTCTGCAGCTGATCTCGCACACCACTGCTGTCACCACCCTCGCCAGCATCGCCCCATGTCACGACGAAGCCATCAACAAGGATCGCAGCAAAGGCATGAAAGGTTGCTTGAATCTGCTGCACATTCTTTAGCTGATCTCGCACACGACTGCTGTCACCACCCTTGCCAGCATCGCCCCAAGTCACGACGGAGCCATTACCAAGGATCGCAGCAAAGGCATAATCGGCTGCTTGAACCTGCTGCACATTCTTCAGCTGATCTCTCACGGCACTGCTGTCACCACCGAAGCCAGCATCGCCCCAAGTCACGACGGAGCCATCAACAAGGATCGCAGCAAAGGCATGACAGGTTGCTTGAATCTGCTGCACGTTCTTCAGGTGGTCTCGCACGACACTGCTGTCACCACCGTGGCTACCATAGCCCCAGGTCACCACGGAGCCATCGCCAAGGATCGCAGCAAAGGCATAATCGGCTGCTTGAATCTGCTGCACATTCTTCAGCTGATCTCTCACAGCACTGCTGTCACCACCGAAGCCAGCATCGCCCCAAGTCACGACGGAGCCATCAACAAGGATCGCAGCAAAGGCATGACAGGTTGCTTGAATCTGCTGCACGTTCTTCAGGTGGTCTCGCACGACACTGCTGTCACCACCGTGGCTACCATAGCCCCAGGTCACCACGGAGCCATCGCCAAGGATCGCAGCAAAGGCACCCCAGGTTGCTTGAATCTGCTGCACATTCTTCAGCTGATCTCTCACAGCACTGCTGTCACCACCCTTGCCAGAAACGCCCCAAGTCACGACGGAGCCATCGCCAAGGATCGCAGCAAAGGCACCCGGGGTTGCTTGAATCTGCTGCACGTTCTGCAGCTGATCTCTCACACCACTGCTGTCACCACCCTCGCCAGCATCGCCCCATGCCACGACGGAGCCATCACCAAGGATGGCAGCAAAGGCAAACCTTCCGCAACATATATCGACTGGTCGAACCTGAAACATTAGTGGTACCTCATATTGCAGCTGGGCCCTTTTGAACGGTGCCCCTCCATGAAGAAAACTTCCGGTGGAGTCCACGAGTCGCCCTTTGCCAGCTCCCAGGGCTCTCTGCGCACGCACCCTCAGCGAGTCTATGGATTCGTCGGCGTTGATCTGCAGCGACACGGTCTTGCCACTGATGAGGCTTACCTCAACCACCAGTGACATGACAAATACTCCAGCTGCGGATCAATCCATGGCAAAAATGTCGAATGCCGGGGCTGTGTTGCCCGGAGCAGTGCAGGTCTCCTCTTGCATAAACACGACTGAAAACGACTTGAACTCTGAATTGCACGACTGCAGAATCAAGGGCCTTTCTAGGGTTTTAGGGTTTAGGGGTTTTTGGCTTTTCCGTTTTGCCCTGCCAGGTGCGATTTTGTGAAGATTGCAGTTGTGTAGGGCTTTTGGACGGTTGGGCTTTCAGGCTTTAAAGTTAAAGGTCCCGGAAAACCACAAATCCAGGGCTGCAAATGGGGAGCGATCTAGGGATTCGGAGTCCAGACTCTGCAGGGTCAGTAGTCCTACCTGGTGTGGATAAGTTAAGGGTTTAGAAGTAAAGGTAGACCCTGACTCCTATCATTATGTCGGCCATTTGTCCCATTATCTTTTGAGTTCTCATTTTCATTTCTATCAAAAGTCTACTATGATGACTGTTATTACTTTTATAAGTCTAAGACAATAACTACTATTACTTTTATAAATCTACTACGATGACTATTATTACTTTTGTGCAGACCCAAGGAGTCCTGCATCCGCGTGGAGAGCCGTTTATCCTCAACCCAGTTTGTAATCCCTGGTTTAGGGTTTAGGGTCTAGGGGTTTGTAAACCTTGAATGCTAAGCCCTAAACCCGACAAGTCCTCACAGCCGCTGAACTCTTCTAAAAATCACGAAATGAGAGACCTTTCGAAAAATCTAATCCGATCCTGCCTTGAGTTGCTGCCCAAGGAAACCCTGGCGGAATCGACCACTGCGCACGTGGACGGCGAGAAGCTGGACAGGGGCATCGTCGTCCACCTCAGGGCTTCGGGTTTCATTTTAGGCTTCTAAGATATTGGACTTAGGCCTTAGGGCTTAGGGTCAGCGGCTTAGTTTGTGGTTTCTGTGGGGGTGTAGGTGTCGGGTTTGAAGATTGGCCGTGCGGATGGATTTAGGGTGTAGGGTTTGGGTGTTCGGGTTTTGAAGGTCTGATGACCCAAAACCCCTGCGGACGTCGCTCCCGGGAGAGGACCCCACCAGACAAGCTGTTCTAGCAGTTCAGGGCAACAAAGCGGCCTCAATTATTGTAATTGGGTTTCGGGTTATATAACAGTATTATGTACAAGGACGGCAAACGGATCTCGGGTTTAGCCCGGTTTCGGGTCTTGGGTCAGGTGTTGTTTTGTTGAGGTTTAGCTATTGGAATGGTGCCTGCTTAGATGATCATGTGACTTAGTAGGTAGGTTATAATCGGGTTTATAAGTCCTTATCCTAAGTAGAAGCTACTTATAACCTTACTTACTAAGTCGCATGAGCCTTTAAGTAGAGACCCCTAGCGCCACATCATGAAGCTTAAGCCGCAGGCATTCTTCGCATCCATCATCTCCGGCAGGGTGATGGGGCCCCGCCGTGCCTGTGTGTGGGACTTGGCTTGGCATTGAAGTTCGGACCGTACACCCTAAACCGAACCACTCTTACAAGGATCTGTATGATTCTTCTGGGAGGGATGAAGGCGGACAGACAATTCCAGAGAGCCCAACACCGCTTACTTAAGGACTTTTTCCATCAACTATAAGGGCCCTTAAATTATGAGTTAAGCTATATTCCTTAATTAGGGGGTACTGGGCTCTCTGGGCCAGGATGACAAGCGTGAGAATCCAAACCCGAGACTAGTGCAAACCCAAAGCCCCTCATTTCTGGGCCTTGTTCATTAGAATAGGGTTTTGGGGTATAGTGTACCCTAGCCCTAAACCCTAAACCCTAACAAGGAACCCCCAAAAGAGTATAGGCAATTATGCAGGCCCCTTTCTTAACCTCTCTGACTCTCCACCAATGATCACAAGGCAACACCCAATATGGGAGTTTCCGAAAATTAGGGATGCCTTATTTTGGGGTCCTTTTAATAAGGATCCTACTATTTGGGGTACTATATTTGGGTCCCCTATTTTCGGAAAAAACCATATCGGCAATACTGCAAGGTAGCGACGAGAGACGAGGCTGCTGACAACAACAGAAACACTATAGCAACAATACTTAGGATAAGGCACAGTACTTTCAAGAAGAGACCGTAGCAAAATCAACAACAACAATCCCTTCCAAAAACCCACAGCCTGTAGAGATCATTGTCAATAAGGTATCGGAGGTTTGAGTGCAGCTGCCTTTGCGCTTAGGATTTAGGGAATTAAGGTTTAGGATTTAGGCGTTTAGGGGTTTCGGGGTTTAGGGGTTTAGGGGTTCAGGGTTTTATGGTACAGTCCAAGGGTAAAAGGAGGGACCCTTAATAAGGACTCCTCGGTATATACCCTTAATATGGCCATTATATACCCATTATATAGCCCATTACTGGGTAGAGGTCCCCATTAAAGGTCCCTCCTTTTCCCCTTCGATGCAGGGAACAATCGCCATGGAGACGACGCTAACGTTGGGCCTTCTCCGACATCTGTTCTGCGCGATGCGCAGCATAGATGGCAATGGCACCTGTTGGGGCTTTGGTCTAGTTCTGGTATAATATGCCCCCGTTATAATATGCCCCCCGAACCCTACTCTAATCATTAAGGCCCTTGCATGGGTGGTTCTCGAAATTATGGGACTTGCTTTTGGCACTTCCCCCTAAGCCCTGAACCCTAAACCCCTTAACCCTTAACCCTTGACCCTGGCTCCGGGCTCCTTTGTCGTGCAAAGCTTTGGGTTTGGGCTTTTCGGGTTTAGGGCTCATTGGGTGTAGGGTTTAGGGTTTAAGGTTTTGGGGGTTTAGGGTTTAGGGGTTTCTGAAATTAAAGACATTCTCGATGCAGTTTATGGTTTCCCAGAGACTCCGAAACCGTCCAATTCAGGAATATACCTTAAATCATACTATGGGTCCTGCAATAATTTAAGGTATGGTCCTGAATTAGGGGGTTTTGGAAGGTCTGGGTTCGGATGGGAGGACTGACGACCCTTCATCCGCCTTAGCTGCAATAATATGGGAGTTTCCTAAAAGTAAGGGTACCTTTTTTGGGGGGTCCTTGTAATAAGGATCCTGATATTTTGGGTACCATATTAGGGTCCCCTATTTGTGGAAACTCCCATATGTCCCAGTGTCACTAAATCTGAGAGTGGCAATGTGCCCTACAGTAGCAGTCTTAGTCGTAATGCAACCATCCTGTTAGTAGGAGTACAAGTAGTACTAACGAGAGTTAATATCTGCACAGAAAACATGGATATCCCAGACCTTCCAAAACCCCTTACTTAAGGACCATACCTTAAATTATAGTAGGGTCCTCAGTATGATTTAAGGTGTAGTCCGTAACTAAGGGGTTTTGGAGTCTCTGGGATGAAATAGGGACCTGGTGGAGGGGCGGACGGGGGGAGGGAGGGTAATGAGGTTCTTGCTTCGTGCCTCGTGGTACTGACGTTCTTCTTTCATGAGTTGGACAAGGACCCAACCCTACGTTCTCACAGAACATGCACGGAAGTTTCCACTGGAAGATTCGGAAGTAGCGAATCCGTAGGCGCTGCCGCAAAACCTGCATGGCAAAAGTTTAAGATTTTGCAACGCCAACGCATGTCCTAAACCTGGAACCCGAAACCCTCAACCCTAAACCCTAAACCCTAAACCCTACAACCAACTGCAAGTCTCAAAAGTAGCGAATCCCCCGGCCCTGCCAGGTGATTTGTACTTCGCTTGCACCTATGGTAGAAGCCCAAAAGTTGGAAACCCAATAGCTTCAATTTTTAACAGTAATGTATAGGGAATCCCAGCACTATTTGCAATTTATCCTAAACCCTAAACCCTAAACCCTAAACCCTAACCTAAACCCTAAACCCTTTCTGGGGTTTACTGTATTGACACACTGTTATCAGGCTGAGGCTGGGGGCCTGGTTGGGAGTTTCCGAAAGTTGGGGGCACCCATTTTGGGGTCCTTATAATAAGGATCTTACTATTCAGGGCTCTATATTAGGGTCCCCTATTTCCGGAAACTCTCTGGTGGGCGCTGCATGCAACAATTAAACTAGGGCCTTAAGGTCTGTTCACGATAATACAGTTATAACTTCTGGCTTTCTTATGGAGTCTATTCATGATAACACCGGTATAACAAAGATCTCAAAAAACAGTTCTTGAAAAAAATCCATGCCCCTAAAAGATTCCAGTACGGGAACCCCTTCAGCCCCCTTCAAAGGAACCCAAAAGAATCCCTCTAAAGGCTCCTTTAAAGGAACCCCTTTATCAGCTGCACCGACGACTCAGCGGCACCCCTAAAACCCTAAACCCCTACACCCTAAACCCTCCACCCCTAAACCCCTGAACCCCTTAAACCCCTAACCCCTAAACCCCCTAAACCCCTAAACCCCTAAACCCCTAACTCCTAAACCCTAAAGCTCCAAACCCCTCAACCCCTCAAACCCCTCAACCCCTCAACCCCTCAACCCCTCAACCCCTAACCCCTAAACCCTCAAACCCACGCGCCTGTTGCCAACAAGATGGACACCGGCTCCATCCTCCTTCCGGTCGGCGGGGCCTGGCCAGGATGCGAGCTTCCTGGCTATTCCTTAAAGGCTTATGGGACGTAGTAAGTAAGCTTATAAGTAGGTTATAAGTAGGGTTTAGGGTTTAGGGACTTATAACCCCAATTATAACCTGCTTGTGGGATTTGGGAATTAGGGCCATGGGAGTTTCCGAAAATTACGGGTACCCTTTCTTGGGGTCCTTATAATAAGGATCCTACTAATTAGGGCACTATATTAGGGTCGGATATTAAAGCATTCTAAACCCTTTACAGAACCCTTATAGTACCCTTATAGTAACCCTTAAAGGAACCCTAAGGTACCCCCAAGCTTGTCGGATTTGGGAATTAGGGCCACTTGGAGTTTAGGACTGAGGGGTTTAGGGGTTTAGGGGCTTCGGGGTTTAGGGGTCTAGGAATTTACGGGTTTAGGGGTTTAGGGGTTTAGGGTTTAAGGGTTTAGGGGTTTAGGGCTTTAAGGGTTAAGGGGTACAGGGGTTTCGGGTTTGGGGTTTCGGGTTCGTGTTTCGAGTTTGGGGTTGAGGGTTTGGGGTTAGGATCTGTGGGGGACAACTCGAGCGAAACGAAATGGTTTGCAGAATTGTTCCGATGTCTACATTGAGCGCGCCAAGATGCCACATGTGTGCTGAAGAGGAGATTTCGAACACAAAGTGAAGTCATGCATGCTCGCAGAAGCACCCTCCCCGCCTGACAGGAGAAGTTTGAAAAAAGAAGCTCGCGACGCTTTCAGATGCCGGGGCCCTACTGCAAACTTTGACTCCAAAGTCTGGCTCTTGGCATGGCTGCCGTGCAGCTAAAGCTCTCCGGTGGCTAGTCATGAACTTCGAAGCTCTGCACAGAACCCATGCTGCGGCACATGGCAGATGAAGACGATGATGTAAGGGTCTGCACACATCGAGCACGAACACTCGAAGGTGTTAGATTTTGGACTGTCCTCCCACGGGCTTAGATGACAGCAACTTCCAACAGCTGTAAAACCATGTGCGACCCTTTCATCAATGCAATCGGATGCCTGCATGTAGGGTTTGGGTTTCGAGCACAGACAGTGATCGGTCGAAGCAGAAAGCATTTTCTCGCCCGCGGCTCCACACTGTGAAGCGCCGTTGTCAGATTTGGCACCTGAGCTTGAACCGCTCGGGAGAGTGACAAGAGTGAAGCCGGAGAATGCTAAGCTCTTTAAGCGCCTTTTTCCAAGCCAATCGCAAAAGGTTCTGAGCACGGCCATTCAAAGCATAGCTGCCGGAGGGGAACCGGTCGTCCAGATGAGAAAACCACCGATTTTTGAGCGTAGATGCTGCAGTCAAAACTCGCATTTCAAAACTCCCCTCCTGGCCCTTTAGAGTGAATCATATGTATGCTGAATTTGCCCTGCTTCAGGCAGCCGGCGTCTCAGGCGTCTTGCGCTGCCAGACATCAACCTCCAAAGCGCCAAAGACCCTCGGGTTCAGGGTTCGGGGGTTGAGGGGTTAGGGTCGAGGGTTCTTAACTAAGAGCCCCTTGCTGAAGCATCCTTGTTACAGTCAAAGGAAAATTTCATTGTTCAGCGATGCTGGACTCTATAAACCCGTATAGCCCCGGCAAAAAATACATGTTACAGTACACCTTTTTCTGACGTTGAACCACTATGAGAACCGTATAAACACCCGTTCATCTCTGAGAAACGGCTTTCTCACCATGGGTTTGGCACCATGTGAAAGAAGCATGGCGCGACATGTACCCTAAACCCTAAATCCCATTAGCCTTAGACCTACACAAACCCCAAACCCTTTCCCTAACCCTCTAGACCCTACACCTTAGACCCTGAACCCTAAGCCCTAAGCTTCACGGACTCACGGCAGTAGGCAAGAAAAGACTTACCTTTGGTTAGTACGGAATGGAAGAATGGTAGTAATAGTAGTTATAATTGTACCCCATTCCTCCATTCCCTACTAACCAACGGTAAGAAGAAGCGCCCAGCCTGGATGGCACATCCTTCGAAAGAACCTGGGGGTTTCGGAATCCTTCCCTTCTTCTTGGGATTTGATTACATTAGACCCCAAACCCGGTTTGGGGTTTAGGGTTTGGGGTTTACTGTTCAGTGGTGCCCAGAGAGTCCACTATCCCTTAATTAAGGAATATAATATAATCTAAGGGTTCCTAAGGGATCCTCAAAGGGATCTATAGGGTTTAGGGTTTAGGGGAGTCTAATACCCCTTAATTAAGGAATAAACCTTAAATGATAGTCGGATCCCCAATATGATTTAAGGAATATTCCTTAATTAAAGGGGTATTGGGCTCTCTGGGAAACCCTCAACCCACCAGCCCAACCCAAAACCCAACGTCAGTGTACAAGCCTGCACAACGGGCTTTGAGGTCTCTAAACTAAAGATATCAGGGGGAACCCTGGAAGAGCTCATCATTGCGGCCCCTGGCACCCCTTTGTCAACCCACTATAAGACCCTTATGAAGCCTTTGTATACTCCTAAACCTAAAAACAAACAAAAAACTTATGAATGCAGGCGGATCCTTCGTGGTGTCGGGCTTGAGATTTCCGGCTATGCACTGCTCGCCAAACCCTGCACCCGAAACCCCAAACCCTCAACCCCTAAACCAGAGACCCTGAACCCTCACACACAACCCTTTTGCCCCCCCAAACCCCTAGGCAGACCCGAAACCAAAAGAACTGAAACCCTTGAGACTACTTAACTTGCAACAATATCTCTGGGCCATAATGCAGGAACCTGATTAAGAAACCCTGGCCTTAACCCCAAAATAGTAGGACTCATACAAGGAACCCTAATAACGGCCCAATGTTTCCTAATCAGGTTCCTACATTACCCACAACTGAACCCCAAACGCGAAACCTAAATGCGTCACCGGCGCTGCCGTTGAGCATCGCCACGGCCTTCGGCACGTCCTTTGCCGAGATGTTGCTTAGAGGATCATGGGACTTAGCAGCCAGACTAAAAAGGTTTTCGGGGCATCTTCTAGTGCAGTTACGAAGAGCCTACAGGAATTTAATCTTGATACCGCTGTACCGGGAACTTCAAATATTGAGCGCACGCTGACGGTGTTTCTGAACAAGCTCAACCGATCCAACCCACAGAGCCCAATACCTCGAAATTAAGGAATAGGCTTGAAATGATGATACGAAACGAAGGCTTCTATGAGTTTGTAAAGTAAACTCCGGAAAATGTACCTTCAATCATAATATAAAGCCCTCTGGCCTTAAGCTATGTTCCGTAAGTAAGGGCAGTCCTGTGCTCTCCGGGAAATATCCTTCGGGGACTCCGAGCCAACCTAGCATCCTTGGGAAAACCGCTATAGAAGCCTTGTAGAAGCTTTTGAGAACCCGAAACATGCCATGTCTTTAACCTATAAGAACCCTGGTCGAACCCTTTAAACACCGATAAGATGCAATGTCTAGAACACTTGTAGAACCCATGTAGAACTCTTACGATCCTTTCTAGAAGCATACAAAATGCCTTGGCGAAATATGCCGTGCAGGGTGACCATGCCCCAAAAGACGCTGCTCGTAGTTGAAACAAGCAACTGGGGTTGAGGCTCGTGGGATTCAGGGTTTTGCCTAGAAGGTGCGCTTTTGCTAGCCGCATGTCGAGCTGCGCAATATTCGTCTCGTAGCTGGCAGTACTTAAAGGCTCATGAGGACTTAGTAAGGGCTTAGGGTTCCCTTTAAGGGTACTATAGGGTTCTATGAAGTTCTATGAAAAGGGTTTAGGGTTTAGGGTCTACTTAAAGGCTCATGGGACTTAGTAAGTAAGGTTATAAGAAGGTTATAATTAGGATAACCCCACTTAGGGGACTTGCAACCCCAACTATAACCTGCTTGCTAAGTCCCATGATCCTCTAAGTATGCAGCATCAGATCATATGGTTTAGGGATTTGGGGTTTAGGGTTTAGCAGTCATTATATTCCCTCATCATAACCATCTTTTGTTGCCATTATGTTCGGCCCAAACAGGCAACTCTGCTAACTGAGAGTACTCTAAGATGCACATTTAGCCTCAACAACCCAAAATCCCTAGACACCGCCTAAACCCTATAAACCCTGAAGCACTGGCCCCAAACTCCTACACCTCACCCAAAACATGCACTCTGAAAGATCTAACAACAGTCTCATAGAACCTTGGAAAACTTAAAAAATAAAAACTTCTTATGGGGAACCCGTGCAAAAACCTCTATTAGGGCCGCAAAAAAGCCACATCAGCAAAAATGAGCAGAGGCATATCCTTTTTTGGGGTCCCTGATCCATCCCCCAGAAAAGTCCTCCGGATTCTTGACAATTAGAATAGGGTGTTGTGACCCATTATACTGTAGTTATAAGAAGGAACCCTATACTATGCCCAGAAGAAGGCTTCCTTAAAGGGGTCTACCAGGGATCTATAGTCGGGTTCTATAATAGTTAGAATAGGGTATTGTGGCCCATTATCCTGTCATTATAACAAGGAACCCCCAAAATAGTATTGGTAAGTATTGAGGCCCCTATGTTATGCCCAGCAGAAGTCCTCCGGATTCTTTTGGGGTCCTCATAATAAGGATCTTACCATTTAGGGTACTATATTAGGGTCCCCTATTTTCGGAAACTCCCATAAGTCCTCCGGATTCTTGAAGGCCGCTCCGCCCACACCGTTGCGGTTGATCTCAGCGAAGATGCACTCGCCGGCCTCGCTGTGACAGCTTGGGGTCTAGGGTTTAGGGGAGTTTAGAGCTTAGGGTGTTTAGGGTTGATAGGGTTGAGGCTTTAGGGTGTGGGGTTTTGGGTTTGGAAATTGGGGCGTCCATGGTAAACCACCGAAAATTTCACCATGCCAGAAATCTGAACCTGAAGGGTGCGGTTGGGTCTAGGGCTTAGGGCTGAGGATTTGAAGTCAAGGGTCAGGGGTTTAGGGTCTAGCTTCGAGCTCAAGGAAACCCAAAACCTGCCAAAGCTCAAAGAACCCTTGTCAAGTCCTATACACGGCCCTAAAACCTTGT